AACCGAAGATAATGAGGGGGTACACCACTAACATTTAGCGAGTTCAAATATTCCATCGGATATAAGTTATTTTTGTCATCTTCCGCTTCATCAAAACTGTAGTAAACTTTTTGCTCGCCATAAAATCGTTCGATCAACTTATTATTAATCTCATCAAGACTTTCATTTTTAGTTGACAATATCACCCTCGAAATGATAAATTTTGAATCGCGCCGTTGGATTGCAAAGAAGGAAATATTGCATCAATCAGAGCGTCCACTGATTAGTTTATTAGTGTATGGAATAGACATGTTATCAGGTATACGAATAAAGGAATCGTCCAATGTTTCCTCATTTCCATCACCGACTCGTAATAAAAATCAGAAAACCATGGGTCATTTACCGCTCTCATGTTGATATTTAATCGAAGCCTTTTAACTGAAGCCCATAGAGGTGACATTCGTAAGCTAGAGTCCACAATTTGTGCTCGAGTGCCACGTCTCACGACCGACAACACTTGTCTAAAGTCACCTCCCATACCATTATCTTTCCACCGAAAGGGAGCTTCTCATCTGTGATGTCTTGCATTGTCCGATCAACTGCTTCTACCGCCTGCCGCTTCCTAGCCATTGCTGCTTCATCATATGATTACCTTTGCCCGCGAAGTAGCTGAGCCTTCCCGCTTTGTTTAGTGATCTTGCACATCGAGTTATTATCAAGATTGCGGGGAATTCCAAATCGTGAATGAGCTGTTCTCCCTCCTGGCATGTTGTTAGCCGCAACACCTGACGTGGCAGTTGCAAGTGCAATAAGACCACGGGCACGAATATTAGCCAACAAAGCTTTGTACAAAAATGTCTTTCCAGTTCCATCGGGACCATCTATGAAGAACACACTCGGAATATTTTCATCCACATGCCTCATTATCTCATCATATGCAAACTTCTGTCTGGATTGAGAGAGTCCCGCGCAAGTAAGTCTTCATTTTCCACATTTATAGAGTATTCTTCTTGCACCTCACGATAACCTCTTGATTGTAAATCGATGTGTTCACTGACATTTGGAAGGTCGTAATCACTAAGCTTTTTACTCATAGATTCTAGGAAGACTCTAATGTCGATGAGGACCATATTTTGCACTCGTTCGCACATCCATATTGTTTCCTATAATCTTCAGAAAGAGAATCATAGTGGTCGTCCATAACTTGCGAACATTTCCCTGGTTCACAAAAAATCAGCATCGTCGCGCAAATAACCTTCTAAGTGCGCTGGGAAATTGAAATAAGGAAGCCTCTACAAGACATTGTGATAAATTATCATCGGTCTCTATTAAACCTCTTTCAAGAGCTGCTTTTCGAAATGTAGGGTGTAATACACCATTGGCTGTGTATAAATCTTCAAAGCAGGTAGGCCCAATAATATGACATAAAAGCAGGCGTATGTATTATCTCTCTCCTTCAGCTGGATTAGCATAAACAAGTCGACCAATCATTGATTTATGTTCCCTGGTCCTCCAACAATGGTTGCTCCGATTCCATGTAAAATGTTTGGGAAAATCCTTATACAAATATTTTCTCGCATTGGAATCTTCTTTATTCTTCTTGAAATATGCCGTCAACATTGAATTTTTTTCCTTTCTCCCTATTAACAATGTCTTCCATTCTGTCACCGTCTTTGAACCTAACCAACTGTTGATTCGGGAGATGTATTTGCAAGGCCATCACACAAGGGTGGAATTTTGAAAGAGGAAAGCTAAAAACTCGCCATAATGCCTCAGGAGGGGATACATAATGTGCGTCTTGAAACTTTCGTATCTCATTAATAAAAATATTTTCTTGGTCTTTATCAATATGGATAACTTGTTTGTCATGGCCCTTATAAACATATTTGAAGAGGTACTTCACAGACTATATACTCGAACAAACCTCAACGTTGATATGACAATTAAACATCATTAACAACTTTGGGTTGTATGGAGCCACCCATCTGTTATCCAATGTTGTAAATCTTACATCACCTCAATTCCATTATTTCTCCTTCTATATAATGGATATGAGTCCGCTCCTTGTGATGTCTTTTCATTGAATTGCCTAGGATATCTGAAACGACATATTTTTGGCACACCCTGCATCCATGGACTTTTTTCTCATAAGCTACCACAAGGACCGTGCATCATGTGACTTTTGACAAGATCATGCATTTCAGGAAACCTTATTGGGTCGGGAATTTCCGCACACACAAGTTTGTCATAATCGTCTGGATTATTCATCTTATATCCAGGTGTCATTATTAAGAGGAAATGTGCATGTGGCAATCCACGCTTTTGAAACTCTATCACATACACATATGACCCCCACCACACCGATTATATGTCTATGGAATAACTGTACCTTGAGATCCTCTAACTTAGCATGAAAAACTCTTGCAGCAAGGTCCGGTCGATCTTGAGCTGACTGTCCATGCAATAACTCATCATCGATTTCTTTCCATTTCGGGTTGCACGTCATTGTAAGAAATATATCAGGCCTCCCATCATCTTGAACTAAAGCCAAGGCATCCAGAAATCTTCGTCGCATGTGACGTGGACCTCCAATGAAACTTGCAGGTAACACAACTCTTTGTCCAACCCTACTTGGTTGAGCCTCACCGCATGGAAGCAATCAACAACGCCCTGGTATAAATCGGCTCTAATTTTGGTTTGGTTCTTTTCAACAAAAACCAAACGTGTAGTCTCAATCTTTATAGGTATCTATCTACTGCAAACTGCTGGAACAATCTCCCTCCCATCAAATCACATTATCATTCGACCGGATCTGGAACTTGTAACAATAGTACTCTCCCGCATATTTACAGTATTTCTGCCTTTTTTTGAAGTAGATTCCGTGATACCATAATTTATGTTAAATATATAAATTAAATATCCATATATTTAAGGCAATATCTGTTACATGTTTTAAATATGTAAAAGAATGTTAAAGGCGTACCTTCTGAACCTTCATCATTGTCTTCATTGTCACTATGAATTTCATCATCATGGCGACCCCATATCTTGGTATTTTAGGATGCCATCCAGACTCACCATTGGGAAAGAATAAAGGATACGACAAAGGATCATAACAACCAAAGTGAGGTTGAATTTCAGTATATAGTTAGACCTCCCATAGACAATAATACTTCTTTTATATGCAGTGATGTTGTCATTTCCTTCAACCCAAATACCAAATACCAAACTATGCAAAGGTGTAGTTCAATAGGGTGATTAATATGATATGTATAATATAAATATGACACATTTAATTTAAAATGAATAAAGATAAATGTTAATATACACCTCAGATGTGGTCGGCTTATTGTACACCCTTTGGTCAAGTTCCACCGATGCATTCAAAGTCACTCTATAATTATCAAGCGGTCCTAGATCAGAAAGACGTTTAAATGTTCTAACGTACGGATTCGAAGCAGAATACGTGTTAGTTTTTTGAATGATTCTTCTATCAACATTCTTCCAGGAGGATCTCTGTGATATTTCAGCTTCACATCATCATAAGTATAATACTGTAAATACCTCGATTTTCCATCCCTTGAAATTAACTGATCGATATTATGATAGAGTGTTTCCGTGCGCACAAAAAGTGTAACTCCAGAAGTCATATTGGCCAATTCTTCATCCACCTTTACACCCTTGATGCGAAAGAAAAGTTTGAGTTATACGCCCTTATATTGTACCTGAAGCTTTCTTCTAGCTGCTCTTGCCTTGTGAAGAGTTGGTGCAATTCTGTGGGAATAGGGGAGTATGCCAGTTTTGTCTTCCCACTGATGCAACAAAAGGTAGGGAATTCATATTGTAGTCGCTTTGCTCCACAATAAACACAAGGGTTTTGAGCCTTTAATATACGATGTTCCATACGGATGTTTTCGTAAACAAAATCATATGGATCCTCCTGAAAGGCGTATACTCTTCTTTTTGTCATCATAGTTCGTTCCTTTCTTCGTTGATAATATTCTTTATTATAAGTACTCGTCCTCTGAGCTGCACTTATAACACTCACAGAGGAATCTTCGTTGATATGTTTTTTCGTTTCTCTCCATTGTAGTGCAACTTGTGAGTGTTTGTAGGTTGACTACATCCTTCACCGTTAGCTATCCTTCTCATTTTGTTTTTCTCCTTTTTTCGTGCATAATAGTTTCTATTGTATCTTTTTCGATTTTCTATAAATATGTTATTTTTATAAATAGTCATATATTATAAATGCAAATATATACTCATATAAACGACATACCTTTTTCTATATCTATCGGGTTTCGGGAATCATCACAATTTTCGTTTCCCTTATCTATGGTACTCATTGCACACTAAAATGGAAATGTTAAGAATAAGCACATATTATATCATCAAGAATGTAACTTTTGTAATGTAGACCATGTGATTTAGTAGTCATGTATGTGGGTGTTTCAACGAATAAAAGTGCAATAAATAATATACTCTAAAAAATACAAGAAACAATTGTACGATACCAAAAACTTAAAGCCTTGTGTGATGTGATGGGATGAACGTTAACAATTTTAAAAGTCTTAACTTTTCATATATCCGATCTGAACATTAACAACTGTATACATGCTCATTAATTCAACAAAAGATTCTCACATGAAACTAATTTGTTGTTAGAAAAATCATGAAAAATTATTTTAACATTAATTTTTTTAGTTTTTCAGAAAGCAACACAACCATTAATAAATAACCAACTATACTAAAAACTTGTAATCCGAAAACACAATAGAAGAAACTAATACATACTTAAAAGAAAATTTCCATAGATATCCAAAAATTATTATATATCAATTCATAATCCAACACAAGAAAAATAAACCACACATAAAAAAAATTCAGCACAATATGTCTAACATTAATGTAGATCAACTATAAAAGCAACGCACTCGTAAAAGTTGTCAAAACTTCAAAAAAAAAAACACCACCAAATGTCTCACACGGAATTAAAAATTCTTCTAGGCATATTTATGATGTTAAATGCTTCCGGCATCCTCGGTTGGAACTCTACGTTGCTTAATTTGGTTGATATCAAAATGTTCACTGAAAATCAGATTAAAACTATTAAAACGTATTGATTTAGTTATTTTAATATCACTACAAGTATTATAATTTTCTAGAAAAAACTTACTTGAATCCAAATGAACCAATTTCACCCGAGAAACAAATATTATATACTTTCTCTTTATCGCATAGACAGTCTTCACAATCTGATGGCGTGTTCGGTCGGTTATATATAGTTTCATCTTTATTATACTCCCCCTATTTATAATCAAATATTTCCAAAGTCACCTAATTTTTTTTTAGTGTAATAATAATAATAATAATAATAATAATAATAATAATAATATAATAAACACTTACGGCCCATCTTGGAGATATAAAGTGAACGAAGTTAACGTCATTAAACCATAGTAACGGGAATAGTTTCGCTTGCCTTTGATGATTTTTCCAACAATATCTAAAAATAGCGATAATTAAAAGGACAACTTGTTATTATTTTATAAACTTTAGAATGCTAAAAATATATATAAGTTATTAAATTTACCGATCATCATTTTTCTTTCTGTCCGATCCTCTACTAAACTTTTTATTGAGGGAACCAACGGAAAAACCGGAAACCATGATATGATAGCATCGGCCAAACGATTAAACCGTGTGTTATTGCTGATCTTAATCATCAAATCGCCACGTAATAAACTGTATTCTTGATACCTCGGATACTCAGCATAGGTTGGTTCGATTTGGAAATGGTTTAAAGAGAACACACCACCCAATAGATTTCCTCCATAAATAAAACGCATCATTTGTTGTGGAACAACTGCTAACAATTTCTCTCTCTAATAGAAAATGTAATATTTTTATAAACAGAATACTTATGATAAAGTATGAAAATGAAAATAAGATATAAATACTTTTTTAAACATACATTTTGATCAATGAGAACCATGAAGAGTTTGTTTGCTCTTGAGTCCCTCCAAATGAAATCCACACGAACGGGTGTCAAAATATACCACAAATGGTAGTTTAGTAACAATGAAAATGCATCAACGTAAATGTGACCATTCATGATTCTACAAAACGAAAGTCAGATGTGATTGATGTAGAATTGATTTACATCATTATTTATATAAAAAACTATGTCGATTTAAGATGCCTAAAGTATAATAACATATGTATTGTAAATTTGAAATATCCAAGCAGTAAGAGCTTTTATTACATGATTTATTCATTAAATATTACAGAAAACCCAAAGCATATATATATACAACAACAAAAAAGAAAATATGGTCGTATAATGGACCTAATATGAATCAATTATTATCTCGATCCAATTGAATATATCAATATTACAGAAAACCCAAAGCATATATATACAACAACAAAAAAGAAAATATGGTCGTATAATGGACCTAATATGAATCAATTATTATCTCGATCCAATTGAATATATAAATATTATGTTGAAATATGCGATCTTTACTATTAGTTCTCTTTAGTTTTAGTATTCTTTAATTATACTTTACAATATTTATTATCTTCTTGTATTTTCCTTTACAAATAGCTAGGTAGAGATAAGACTGTATCCACCAGATTATGATTTTATGGGATCTGTGTATTGTTCATTTTATGTGTTGAAATTTATACAGTGCAATATATTCTATATTTATGTAGTTAATTGTACCAAAATGGCTCCAAATTCTAGAACTGGGCTAAGGTAAAATTATATGTATATATAAGTTATGATAAGGAAATAACATATAATAATTTAAAAAATACGTTGTGAGGACATTGACGAATCAAAACATATAAAATATTTGAGATCTCTTTTCACATATTAATAATTGGAAACTTGGATTAAAGTTTGACCACAAACCATTATGAGTCATTCACATGGATCAGAACACCATATTTTTTTTACCATTACATATGATTATTATTATTATTATTTTGTTTTGTTTTGAAGGATGTGGAAAATATATGGTTAACATAAATAACACCAATAATTCATAAAGCCTAAGATGATTATACTATTACATTCTGTGTATGTCTTATAAAGATCTAACAAATACATCTAATTGATTACCATGCCATAAACTTTATTTTGATCCTTAAAATGTAAGAGATAACTTTGTTTATTCTAATAGAATAAAATGTGTGCAAGAATCAATTAACTTAATTCTTGCTGAATTGAACGGTTGATGTGCATAAATAAAAAACAGGGACATAAACGAAAGAAAGATAACAGGGAAGAAGAACCGTGGGCTGTTGATTATAACTACTTCGCCAAGGTATATGTGAGATAATCAAACTAAAATCACAACAGGAACAATACTTTAGACCATTCATGAACAACAATATATTGAATTGATAATCAAACAAACAAGCATGATGCAAACAACAAAATCTAAACCTCATCCTGGATGCAAATTTTAAAAAACAATATTCACATGGTTACACCAAATTCGATCTAGTAAAGTAGAAAATCAAGAATTGTATTTGAGACATAAGAATTTTATCATTTCAAACAGAATAAATTTATCACTTTAGACAGAAGACAGAAGAAGATTCATCAAACAGATAGAAGAAGTAAAGAGAACCTGAATTCGTCTCACGAAATGTAATGCAATGCAATGAAGTAATCTTCTAGTTCCCGATCCCTTGTTGGTGAATTGTGCTGTGAAAGTAAAAAATAAGAACATAATATATTAGATTTATAGACGGAATAATGTATCATATGATGTATTTTCGGATATTACTAACTGTCAAAAGTCATACCAAAAATATTTTAAATCATACCATAAATACTAAATGTCAAAAATCATACCAAAAATATTTTAAATCATACCATAAATACTAACTGTCAAAAGTCATACCAAAAATACTTTAAATCATACCATAAATACTAACTGTCAAAAATCATACCAAAATTAATCATATTATTATCATATTTTTATTAAAATAAAAATAATTCCTTCTAGTTATTTTTAGAAAAGAAACTTATCATTTAATTAAATATCATGAAATTCTAAAAAAAAAACTTAAATAAAAAAGGGTTATATTACAATTTTCATTCCAATCCAGGACGAAATGAAAATTGACAAAATGGAAGGAATCAGAATTCAAATGCCTTTGGGAATGCTCAATTCCATTCCATTCTTCCGATTCCATCATACCAAACAAAACAAAATAATTCTTAATGCAAAAAAATAACTCGATAATAACTGAAATAAAAATAAAGATATTACCAGGACTTCAAATTTGACCACATTAGGGGAAGTCAACGCACCATCATTTTCAACAATAGTCAACTCATCTCCAAAATAATTATGACTACTTTGCATAGAATCATTCACCATGCCTTTGGCACACCCGGGACCCACATACATTTCATATTGTAATGACCTATTTTTTCCAACACACGTTCAACTCTTGCAAAGCTTTCAGAACCACTGTCATTATCTCATGAGGATGTGCTCGAGACTGTAAAAAGAAAAATAAAAAACCATAAGAAAAAAATGTTTAATTTATTTAATTATTTCAAGAAACTTAACCTGAAGTCCAAGAGCCCATTTTCTTTCGGCTTGGTTTCTGATATTCATTCCTTGATAATCCATGTAAGCAGATGGGCGTTGTTCCATAATTGGAGAAGTAGGAGCTTCGTTTGAAGTCATGCGGTTGAATCTATCCTGTATTTTTTTTCAGCCAAGGGCAAATCGGTAAATTGACAAACTTTGGATATATCATATCATATATGTAATATTTATACGTGTATAGACCATAGATATATGAGTTGCAGTGAGTGAGTGATGACTTAATATCAAATGTTAGGTTAGAGGAAATAGTTGCAGCAAGGATTTTACAATTTAGATGATTTCACTCTATAATTCCATCACAAAAGAGCTGTTTGCCAGGCTTGTTCACTAACCTGTTCAAGCCATTGTTAATCGATAGTTTGTATCAAGTAAAAGCAAATTACAATGGGTTATATATTTCATAATCAAGAACATTTTGAAATATAAAAGAAAGTATAACCTCTCCATTAGCCTTCCATGGTTTCTTTGACTGAAAATAATCAAAGAAAGCAGGAAAAAATACATGTATGAACAAATATTAGTCTTAAGGATATTGCACATTTTTTCCTGAAAATAATCAAAGAAAGCAGGAAAAAATACATGTAAGAACAAATATTAGGTAAAGTTGGAAACCTTACCACAATCAACCCCTGGAAAATCATTATTTGTTACTACAGCTTGTTAAGTACAAAAAAAAATAGTTTGAATTCAAGAATTATGAGGGTAGTGATGCACAAAATCCTCATTACAAGAATCTTCGATCACTCCATCTTAACTAACGAAAAAATCCAACTAATCTTCTCTCTCACTTTCTATCTCTTTCTCAAAATACTCATGTAAACAAGAAATTTTGTGTTTTAGGTCAAAAAAGAAATGGTATACAGTTTCTCCATTAATGTTTGTAAATATGCTTCATGATTGAGTATTTTGGGAAAACTGTAGGAAGATACTTCAAGAATAAATAAGAGTGGTTAATTAACATCAACAAACACTCGATAAATTTAAATTTTGGCAAAAAACAGGGTTGATTTCATTGGGGTAAACAATAGCTTTGGGGATGTGGGGTAAGAAAAATCGGAGGTGAATCCTCGCACAACTCCGTCGTATTCATCATCTCCGACTCCAATTTTCCTCTCCAAGCTCTAACTTTCTACCTCTGTCATTTTGATTTCCCTCTCCAACCTTCGATTTTTTCTATAATCCTCGATGTCTACCTCGACTTATAATCTCTAACTCTGTCACTTCCCGCTTGTCATACTCTCCACAAAATCACATAAGATTGCAGAAGCAATTTGGACCAATTTTAAGTTTGTAGGTTTTAATACCTTCTAAAACTCAGATATGACCATCATCCGAACCAATAGATTTAATACATGAAAAGTTGATTTGGGTATAACAGTTTTCTACAAACATTTTCCTATTTGTAATACCTATGTGATCGATTTTTGTGTACCTAAATGGTTCGTAGTCGCTGCCGACAGAGATTCCAACGGAGTTACAGACTGGAGCGGAGATTCCGACGGAGTCGCTACCGACGACATAGGCGGAAGCTTGGCAGGTGACGTGGATCAGGTATTTGCGCAAAGGAGGTAGTGGTCGACGCTCGCCACCATATGCTCGGTCGATTAGGGTTTTTTGATGCACACCCAAATCCATACACGAATTCGATCCGGTTTGAGCAATGAAGAACTTTTGAGGTGATTGAAATGGCTTGAAATGTCTTCTGGTTGATGAGTTGTAGATGATTATGTCACGCGTGCCATCGATTAAACATACTAATCCATTGCAAGAACCCAGAATCTTGATTGAAGTTTGAGGGTCCGTCTCAGGTGGCTTTGATTTGATGAGTAGTGTTGTGTGTAGGAAGGAGATGGAAAGAATAGGGTTTCTATTTTGTGATGGCGGCTGTTGCGTGTAGAAAGAAGATTAGGGTACCATCTAATACCTAATACCGTGTATAGCTATACTATGTGATTATAAGCTTAATATTATTGTACATGAGGTAATAGGTATTGTACCTCTTAATTTTCAAGAAATGGACAATATCCTTAATAATATAGTAAAGATATATATATATATATATATATATATATATATATATATATATATATATATATATTATATATACACATATATATATATATATATCTATATATATATTATATATATCGATATATATATATTTGTATAAATATATTTAAAGGGCTTAGGACTAATATTTCGCTTTATTTCCTTTTCCTTGTTTGGATGTGGGCTTAGGGTAGAGTTATTTGTCCGAATGTCATTTAAAATTTAATTATCTATATCTATATATATATATCTATATATATATATATATATATATATAAGTTATTTCAATCAGATTCATATTCCCTTTGTAACATGTCGAGCAAAGGGGGTACTTTCATGAATATTAACATATCAAACAGAACACACGTATAAATTATAATAGGTATAATTTATGGAACTCTCATACTATTTTCACTAATCAGTT